TTCAAGCTTTCACAATTTGCCTCCTAAACCTCAAATGGTGAAATAAATGAATAGAATTTAATCACACAGTCATACTGCATGAAGCTGTGCTTTCCATCATCACTTGTGAGAGGAAAATAATTTCTATTTTTTTTTTCCAATGTGTTTTAGAAACGCATGCAGTTTATAATTAATTTAAAGTTCAAAAGCAAACAATTTTTTTTTACTTAACTTTGCTGTATTCTGAGACCATATATACCATTTAAACTACACTACAATTTGATGTATTTATTTAATAATAATAATAATAAAATGCATTATTATTTTTTTTTAATTATTATTTTTGTGTATTTTCAGTTGTTTGTTGCCAGGTACTGATCTCTGACTCTTAGTCTTATACTAAAGACTACTAGCAGGAAGCTCAATGTCAAACAGTAACATGTATTCTGCAAGCATGGCAAACATTATTTAGACCCGCTTCTGTGGCCAGGGTATCAGGCTTGGGGGTCTGGAGCTGTATCAAGCCATCAGAGCTGGCTTATCCGGACTCCTGCAAGGCAATGCTTGCCTTCCCGTCTGGCTCCTGCTTAGATCCTGTCTCAAGGAAATAGGCACCAGACTGGCCACTGCTCCCTAAGACCCACTGCGAACAAGAGGCATAATGCGGTTTTGTGCAGTGGACATTGTCCTTTGTAGATGAGTTTAAATGCTTGAATAAACCACTGAACTTGGTAAATGAGCATGTCTGAATTTGTTGATTCTGAAATAATTTTTATTTAAGTCACTACCATGTAGCATGTGCAAAGCAGCATATTTTCAGTTTTATTAAGTAGCTTTCCTTTCATCACCATGTTTGGTTTCATATGAAATTATCCTATTAATGGCAGTTTTGCGGTGAACAAGCTTAAACCACCAGTAGTTATCGGATATAAATCATTAAAAAGGTCAGCTTGTCCTACAATGAACTCGTCTCTCCTCTTTTGAAAATCTCCTCTGGAATCGAGCACACCGTGTATATGCATGCTACAGCATCTATATTATGATGTATGAAGTGCTTCATATCAAATGAAGACCGTGTTTCTGGCTCATACTTTTTATCAAGCCCGTCTGTGATGTGACCCCGGCACTTAACTGGTTAAAGTGTGTCCGCAATCCATCTTCAGGACCCCCTGCATATTAACATTGATCTGTTGGAAATGAAGAACAGACGTGTGTTATCGTTTACAGTGGGAAAATTTTTCTTTTCATGATAGATCTGGAGAGCAACATTTCTGACAAATGGCCTTTCTAATGTGTTTTGTTTTCCGTCAATAGTGTGGCTCTTCTCTGGATTGTGGATCAATAGAAGCAAACGCTCGGTGTGGTAGGATTTAAAGGGATAGTTCAGCCAAAAGTGAAAATTCTGTCATTATTTACTCACCTCATGTCATTGCAAACCTGTTGGTCTTTCTTTTGTATGTGAAACACAAAAAGAGTGACTTAGAAGAATGTTCAAGCTTCTCTTTTCCATAGAATGAAAGTGAGTGGTTACCATGTCTGTTCCTGAGGACAAAAATGCTTTCTAAGTATCATCTTTTGTTTTCCATGTAAGAAAGAAAGTCATGCAGGTTTGGAATGACATGAGGGTGTGTAAATGATGACATAATTTTCATTTTTGGGTGAACTATCCCTTTAAGATTGCTCTTCAGCGGTTTCTTTCTTGCCTTTTGTACAAACTTTGGCAACGGTACTCTGCACTTTATGTGTTAATACCCCTCTGTGTTTTTGAACAAGTCTGGAATATTCAGTGGTGGGTAGTCCGTATTGGGGGGGGGGAGCATTTTTACCAGTGAACATACATTTTCAGGACTGTTTCCAGAGCTTTTGGGTGTCTCTCATGTGTGAGACTGCTCAGTGGAGAGTAGACTCCCCTCGGTAGAAACATCAGGTTTGGAATGACATGAGGGTGTGTAAATGATGACATAATTTTCATTTTTGGGTGAACTATCCCTTTAAGATTGCTCTTCAGCGGTTTCTTTCTTGCCTTTTGTACAAACTTTGGCAACGGTACTCTGCATTTTATGTGTTAATACCCCTCTGTGTTTTTGAACAAGTCTGGAATATTCAGTGGTGGGTAGTCCGTATTGGGGGGGGGGGGCATTTTTACCAGTGAACATACATTTTCAGGACTGTTTCCAGAGCTTTTGGGTGTCTCTCATGTGTGAGACTGCTCAGTGGAGAGTAGACTCCCCTCGGTAGAAACATCTGTTGTAGAAGGGCCTGTCACTTTCCCTTTTGTAGGCTCTGTCTCTTCCTCAGACTGAGACTGTCATCAGGTTTGATCATTTACGCGGCTCAGAGAATAATGTAGCAGAATTGGGCATGCGTTCATGCAGTTGAGTAACTCGGAGCGTATACGGTTTTTCACCCTCAGATTCGGTTTCGAGAAGAGATGTTGTTTTTGTCACCAAAATTTGAAGAGTGAAAGATATCTTTTTTTCTTAGAATTTTAAATTGTGAGATATTTGTGACAAGTTTTAACATTATACTTTATGTTTATGTAACAACTTGGAGAAGCCAACAAACTTGACTTTAATCCTCCTTTTGTTGCATTTTATGTTGTGATATTTATGTTGTGGCATTAACTGCAAAAATAACAGATGCGATAGGCTTAAGCTATTTGCATGGACAGGCAGGCTCATTCATTCAGCTGCCTTATCTCAAAGTTTTCATAGATGAGATATACCTGTGTCTAAAATGGCCCAAAGGTGTGGTGTCTCTCAAGACAGACAGGAAATGTTTTTAGAGCAGCACCACAACAGTGCCACAAGGCTCCTCACCTCCTGGTGTCTTCAGGTCAACTGCCATTTATCTTGTGTCAGAGAGCACCTTGAAGTGATTCTTCATCTTATCTTGACATTAGAGCCGTGTCAAAACATGATGTCTGTGCCGCTGGAGGGAATCCATAAATAAAGGTGGAAATGCAATCTGAGCAAACAACTCAAGCTTAATCTGCATTTATTAATACACTAAGGTGCTGACATCGCTGTGTATGCTGAAGTGGTTCAAGTCTAAGGACATAAGAATTATGTGACATTTTGGGATAGTTCATTCATGAAAATTTAGCTGTGGAATTGAAATCATCCCTCTGCATCCCTTTTCAGTACCTGGGTACTGAAAAGTTTTTTTTTTATTATATGTGGTAGCTCACTGTTTGTTATGGAAACTTAATGTAAATGTGACTCTTGTAACTGCAACTTTGTTTCTTCAGTTTATTTATTTTTTTAATAAAATATTTTTTAAAAACAAAATAATTTCTTATTTTATTTTTCTTATTTTATTTTTAGTAATTGCAACTTTTTGTCTCATAATTGTAACTTTAATTTTTGTAAATGCGACTTTATATCAAAATTGTGATTTCATCATAATTGCAACTTTATGGCTCTGAAGTATGGCTTTTTTTGTTAATTTTACTTTATATCACATTTGTGACTATCATAATTGCAACTTTATAGCTTGAAATTGTGAGTTTATTTTGTGTAAGTGTGAGTTTATATCACAATTGTATTTATATATATATATATATATCTCACAATTTCAAGGTTATTTCTTCTAAATGTAAGTTTATATGTCAACTTTTTGAAACTCATTGCAACTGTTTATGGTAATTGTGGCCTTATTTCTCACAAAGTGACAATTTTTTTTACTTTTAACTTTATTTTATTATTACCCATTTTACTCTTTAAATACAAAATTGGGCTTCCACACTTTGTCAAGTTGTGTGATCTCTCTAATGAGCCCTCAAACAGGCATTTGATTTCTGTTGGGAATTTTTTCACTTCAATAAGATATTGACAAGGATTTCATTGTTACAACTATTATTGACACTTTAACAGTTACTTTATTAATAGCTCATGGCTATCTCTGCACAGTTTGAGTTGCCGTAATTGGATTTGATTTTTTGCTCCTTTGTTTATTGTCATTGTAAATGCGGCACATATTTTTTTCAGCACAAGAAGTGCACAGCAAAATACACCATTCACAATTAGATTAAGCTCAGCCAGACTTTTGCAGTTGGATGCACAGGTGGTTACAGGGTTCACCTGCCCTCTGTAAAGATTGACTTGCTTATGAAAATACAGGTTATTTCAGGACGAAAACATGCTTGGCTTCAGCATAAGGGCCCTGTGCCTGCACTCTTGCCTGTCACCATATTGCTCCTCTTGCGCAGCGAGTGGAATTCCAGCCCCGGTCTGCCCGCTCTCTCGCCAATGTGTGCGTTTTGTTCAGAGACTGTATTCCATTCTTCTAACTTTGTTCCATTGACTGAGTTGCCCCGAGTGAGCTATGAGAGACGCTGGCTTTCTGTGCCAAAGGTACGCTAGCATTACTGTCTGAAGAAAATAAAGCTTGCTGTTTCGCTTTGCTGCCACCAGATGCAATTCGCAGCATGAAATACGGGCGGTAGTCTCTGGGCTCTGCGCTTTGTGCAAAAAAATTTTAATTTTCCTAAACCCACCATTTTCATTTTCAAATGATACAACTGTAGTCATTTGTCTTTTTTGTATTTGTCTTTCACTCATTGTGAAGCTCTGTATATTTTCTCAGAGGTGCAGATAATTTTATTAAATTTTTTTTTATTTACTATGAAAGAATCAGAAAATGCTAAAGAGCATATTCCTTAATAATTTCATCCTAACTCCCATAATTAAAGATGTACTGGATTTTCTCATCCAAATATAGAATGTAATAAATAATAATAATAATAATAAACATAAATCTGATAAATAAATATAGAATGTATTCATTATTTTAGTTCCATGAAGATGATACTCTGTCTTTGGGGTGTTCTGAAGTTTATATGTGACCCTGGACCACAAAACCAGTCTTAAGTCGCTTGGGTATATTTTTAGCAATAGCCAAAAAACATTGTATGGGTCAAAATGATCGATTTTTCTTTTATGCCAAAAATCATTACCCCTTGAGGCATAGTGTGGCCCTTGTTGTTGGTAACGTGAGTGCGATAGCAGCTCCTCATTTAGCCGTTGGTGACTTTATTAAAGTGTATGGTTTCAGACCCCTGGTGCCTTAGCTATTGTATTGTCACCCCTCTATAGCAGGGTTAAGTCCTCCGCTGCTTGTGAATACACAAAACACCTCTCAGCCACATTGACTGCGTTCTAATGCATTCAACTCGCACTGAACGAGAAGTGATTGTTGCTCTTATTTGTCCTGGAGTTAAATGACATAAATGGAAATCTTAATATTGGTCGTCTTTTGTGTCCGTTTCAAAATATTTTACAACTGTTGACGGTTAAAGGGGTCAGTTACATATTGGGATGTCAATTTAGCGTGATTTAATTTGGAAATAACGTGATCAAGAAATGTACACAATTATTTGTTAATTGACTACAATATTTGTGTTATTCAATTGTGAAGTACTTTGCAAGTCAGCACAGCCTGATGCTGTAATAAACAACAGAATGCAGGGATCTTGAGAAGTGTTTTTCAAAGTAACTACTTTTAATTTGACATGGCGTCCTAAAAATAAGGCGCCCATGGAGCAAATGAGACGCAAAATCAATTTGTATGTGTACATAAACCAACAACTTCTTAAACCAAACAAGATATTTCTTTCAACCAGAAGTTAATTATATAGAAATAAAACTACAACATATAAACTTATATCTTCAATAATTTATTCTGTTACAATAATCAAATGTTTTGGGACTTTGGGTCTTTTCTCAGTAAATACTAATATGTGATTAATTTGATTAGCTTGCGGTCAGTACATTTGTTTTATGTTTTTAAAATAAGTCTCTTATGCTCACCAAGGCTGCATTTATTTAATCAAAAATACAGTAATTCTGAAATATTAAGCCTACATTTTAAAATAATGATTTTCTATTGTAATATATTTTAGATGTAATTACTGGGTTGGCAAAACAGAATTATCAGCAGTCATTTTTCCAGTCTTCAGTGTCACATGATCCTTCAGAAATCATTTTAATATGATGATTTGGTGCTTAATAAACATTTCGTATTATTATCAATGTTGTAAAAGACTGTGCTGCTTAATATTTTTGCGAGAACTATGATACCCCCCCCCCCCCAAAATACATTTTTATTGATCAATTTAATGCATCCGTGGTGAAAAAAAATATTGTCTTTTTCAAAAAATGTAATAAATCTTATCCCAAAATTTTGAACGATAGTGTAAATTATTTTATTTAAAATAAAATTCTATAATATCTCAGAAATGACAGTTACATAATCAAATTTTACATTGTTAAATTGTGAGTGTGGACGTAAAGCACACATTTGCACCCAGACATACTGCACGAATGTACATGTTTATCTGTTCTGATCACAGATGTGGTTGTCTGAGGTGGATGAGGTGTAGTTTGTACTATGTTCACAGAGTTTTGCTTTGCCAAGTACTCAGTGGAGGGGAAGACACACGGCGGCCTGTCTGATCTCAGGTGCTAAGTGAGCATGTAATATTCACCTCTAGGCTGAAAGGCAATCAGTGGCCAGCAGTTGGGAAATTACAGCGATGAGCATAGCAATAACGCTCTGTAACGCTTGAGTGTGTGGAGGCTTGTTGTATCGTTGTGCACCTATACTTAAATATGCTGTGGATGAGTTGTTGCACTTCATGGTTTTTATGTAAAGGTGATGATAGAACTGTATTTCACTCTCTGCTCATACATTTTGTGTATTAATGCTTTATTCTTTGAGGAATCAATTTTAAATGATAATTTTTGGACGTTTGCATCTATGAGTTTGGACATAGCTCAGTGTAGCCTATATGCATTGTAATCAGTAGATTGCTTATAACACAAAACCTGGAGTGATTTTAGAGTGTAAATGAGAAGTGTGAAACGCTGTGTTTTAAGCTCTTGTGTGAAAATTGTCATGCCAGCCAATCACACTGAATCTATATTTTGTTTTTAATGCGTGCTATATTGAGCTTTTTGTTCACTGTCGATGCTCAATGTTTTATGCCCTTTAGAAGATTGCAATAGAGTTGAAATTTGAGTATTAAAATTAATGCTGTCAAATGAATAATCGCATACAAAATAAGTGTTTGTTTACGTAATATATGTGTGTGTATTGTGTATATTTATTATGTATATATAAATACACACACGTACAGCATATATTTTAAAAATATTTACATGTATATATTTATATTCATATAATTTATATCATGTATAAATATATTTAATATATAAGTAACATATTTTGCTAAAAATAAAAAACAAAAAACTCAATAACAGCAAACTTTTGAACGAAATGTCAGTGGTATTGTGTTCACTTGTTTACCAAAGAGCTAAAGCAAAAATGTGATCTGTTAGTAAGATGTAATTTTAAAAAATTTAACGTCAACATACAAAATCACTGCTGATGAAAACAGAGTTTTGACTCAACCTTAACTGAACCTAACTGAAGTACAGCCCTTGTGATCTTTCCCATGTGACATCCATGTTTCGCTTATTAAACAGATAAGAAAATTATAATGATTATAATAAAAAATGTCATCTTAAAAGCCCAACCAAAATGGGTAAGGGTTTGGAAGAGCCTGAATAGCTTGTTAAATCTGGCCATCATTGGTGTGTGTTGTAGCTCAGGTCTGGCGTGGTGTGGGTGAGACTCTGCGATTTGAGCGGCAGCGACAGATGCCGTATGGTCGGTGGTATTCCCAGCAGAAAGAGACGCCCCTGGGGTCTGTTGACATCTGACAGTACATCAGGGATCAGCAGTGCCACACTCATGTTCTGATGCCATCGTATACAGTATGTCAGTGATCACATGTACCGGCCCATGCTGAAACACACGCAAGGTGGTGTCATCTGTCTGTGGATGTGTTCAGCTCTTCACTGTTTAGTGCACATTGAAAATGTGTTATTCTGGATCTGTGAGGTGTGGACTGAAACCTGTAATGTGTCAGTAGCAGCGATGGGCTTGATTCCTGCCAGAATGGAAACACAACAGTACAGTATTTTAATGCTGGTTAAGGCATGAAGACATGTATGATTTATTAAATTTATAGCAGTGTAGAAATAACTATCATTTCAAGTGTGAAAATACTTTTTCATCGAATTTTCAAACAAAGCAAGGTGTAAAATTTTTCAGTGTCATTTAAATAATGTTTAGGCATGAATGTAATGGCTTGATATAAACGGAAATATTATAGAGGGGAGTGTTTAAGGAACTGCATTGCCAGTGTTTGACCAGTTGAGGCCATGCTTTCCCCAAACTGGGCAGACAGTGTGAGACCGGAGTACGGATAGTCTGCATCTGTTCTTCTCAAACAGAAACAACCCCTTTCAGCCCTCCTCCTCATTTTCATATAGAGCCCACTGTGTTCCTGTATGCAGTCAGATATAGACAATCACATTATTTATTTAAAAGAAATTATTTCATCTTATTTTGTCATTTTTTATTTAATAACATTTTTTATTTATTGATTATTATAAATGAAAGTGTTTTGCTTTTTGATCAGTCATACATACATTTTTATTATTTTTGTTATTTTATTTTTTGATTTGTTAATGATTATTCATGAATGTGTTTTACTTTTTGGTCAGTCATGAATCAATTTAGTAAAAAAAAAAAATTATTTAATTAAATTTTTTATTTTATTTTACTTTATTTAAATTTTTTATTGTTGATGATTATACATTTTTATATTATTATTATTATTATATTAGTTTTCTTTTTTTTAATTTTTGGTCAGTCATGCATCAATTTAATTATTTTTATTTTTTATTTTTTTATTTATCTATTTTTAATTTTTACTCATTTAATTTTTTTTTTTTAATGTTGATGATTAGAAAAAAACTGTTTAATTGCTTTTTGGTCTGTCATAAATTTTCTGCCATGGTTTTCAGGCTTAGGTATAGGACCCCCATGCAGAATAGAGGATTGGAGACAATTTCCCTGTTGAAAGGTGGTCTACCTGTGCAGGCCGGGCCAGGGGCAGCTGCTTATTTTATTTTTTGATTTGTTAATGATTATTCATGAATGTGTTTTACTTTTTGGTCAGTCATGAATCAATTTAGTAAAAAAAAAAAATTATTTAATTAAATTTTTTATTTTATTTTACTTTATTTAAATTTTTTATTGTTGATGATTATACATTTTTATATTATTATTATTATTATATTAGTTTTCTTTTTTTAAATTTTTGGTCAGTCATGCATCAATTTAATTATTTTTATTTTTTATTTTTTTATTTATCTATTTTTAATTTTTACTCATTTAATTTTTTTTTTTTAATGTTGATGATTAGAAAAAAACTGTTTAATTGCTTTTTGGTCTGTCATAAATTTTCTGCCATGGTTTTCAGGCTTAGGTATAGGACCCCCATGCAGAATAGAGGATTGGAGACAATTTCCCTGTTGAAAGGTGGTCTACCTGTGCAGGCCGGGCCAGGGGCAGCTGCATGTCATTTTTGTCCCAGCCAGCCAGGGTCTGTCAATTAAGGGAACACAGGGCAATCTGTGGCCACTGAAAGAGATCCCCTCACCCTGCTTGCTGGCAGAGAGACGGGCCTTTGTTCACTGGCATGTCTCACATACTTTCTGAGGCCAGATAAGCCCGGGCTTCATGAAACCCGGCTTTATATTTGGCCACTGTAATGTCCCCATGAGGGCAGAGCGTAGTTAAGAAAGCACAGGCAGTGAAAAGGTAATATTCCCCTCCTCATTACGGGGTCGGCAATAAAAGCCACAGGTTAGGTGGTCCTGAAGTCTGGCTCTGAATATTTGCTGAATGATGCACCCCCCTCACACCCCCGCCTCACCTCCTCCCCCTGGCGGTGTAGAAATAAGCTGGGAAGCTAGAGGGCGGCTTGGTTGTTTCCTGAAATCGGATTAGCAGCTACTCTACACTTAGATCTGCAGGGAAAGGGGCTTTATTTGAGCCAGGCTCAAGACCACCCATCAGGTAAACAGGTACATTAACGTGGGCCTAAAGAGAGAGAGCAAAAGTCAAGGGGAGAGAGGAAGAGTGAAAGATTCGGTCATTGATAGGGGCGGTC